TAAGAAGTGTGCCCAGCTCTCCCGGGTGGTGAATCAAGCAGGGGAGGAGTTAAACCCAGGAAGGATGGTAGGCAGAAGGAGTGAACAGCCAGAAGGGCAATTAGGTGGAGAAGAATGTGTACTGGGAGCCTATCATGAGCTCTAAGCCAGGTCTCATGGGTCCGGTGGCAAATATGCCCCTGTCCTCATCAAACCTACATCTGTGTGTGTGTGTGTGTGTGTGTGTGTGTGTGTATGTGTAGGTGGTGAGTACCGGTCACATAATCATACAAATCCTGTCCAAGTACCATCATGGGGAGTTGGAGGAGAGGGTGCACCGTGGGAGGCGGGGCACAGACCCTGGAGCATGACCCCGTCTCCTCAGGTGTGAAATGGGCAGAATTCTAATCCCGCTGTACACGGGATGGGGAGGACTCGTGCATCGGTGGGTATCAAGTGCTCACAAGGATGTCTGGGCAGAGCAGTTAATAAATACGAGTTGTTATCATCACGATTAAAACCGTCGGTCAGCGTCCACTCTAGGCCGTGCGCTCGGGAATGGAGGGGCGGCCACACTGTTGCTGCGTCTCCCTAGCTTCTGATGCTTCGCTCCTGTGGGCTGGCGCCTGCTGCCGTCCTCACACAGCTGTGGCTGTTTTGCGTGGACAGGCCGAGAGCGAGTGCTTCCTGGGAGCTTACCTCCCCACAGCAGGGCCCGGTGCCTTGTCACAGGGGGAGCTGCTGTAAGCGACTCTCCGGGGCTCCCAGGATGGGGCGGAGGCTGGAACTTCTCCCAAGGGCACCCCCTTTGGCTCCTTTCCTGTCCCTGTCCTCACTCCCTCACTGGTGTCCCTGGGAATCACTTCCCTAAGGAACCCTGGTCCCGGGTCGCCCCCGGGGATCTCAGTCATCAAGGAAGACTCCTGCAGGACGCTGGATGGGGGCTCGGACGGGGCACAGGGGAGCAGGAAGGGAGACAAAGGAAGATGGCAGGAGGACGGACGGCAGATGCCCAAACCTGTATGTGGGTAGCGTTTAAGACATAGAGGAGCTGGCAGGAGCTGGTGGGCCAGAGGCCGGGGGCATCCAGGGCGAATGAGGGCTGGGGCCTGGGGTCAGCTGGGCCACCCTTACAGGACGCCCGAGTCCAGCGGAAGGAGTCGGCTTTCGTAAGAGCAATGGGAAACCGCAGAGGCAGGGAGGAGACACGATCAGGTTTGGGTTTGAAAACACCGACATGGAGAGTGTAGGAGGAACAGGCTGGAGGGAGACAAGTTGAGAAGTTTCTGCTTTGGTCCCAGTGGTGGAGAAAGAAGTAATGGAATTGAAAAATGTTTCAGCAGCAAAAAAAAAAGGGAGGGGGAAATTATTTTGCCTCTCAAATGATCATTTTTCTGTAAAATCGCTATTGACGTCCAGATTTTCGTAAAGGTAGATTTTGTGACACAGTTTGTGAAGTGGCCCCATGAGACTTTTTCTAGTAAGACAAAGCCTGAATTTTAAAATGTTGTTGTAACAAGTGCACCAGTACAACGAAGAAGAACATCTCCTGAGTTTTAAAACCTTTATTTTTACTTTCAGAGAACTTGAAAAAGACACACATGAAATCTGACAGCACATGGCTTTATAATTCTAAAAATAACTTCACAGCGGGGAGAAACCTCATACCTACTTTAGCAATGTGTACATATTTATTCAGATATAAAGCTATAAACATATACTTCTGAAATATTCTAAAAATATAACCTAAAAAAAGGAAATCTTTATCAAATACAAAGAAATATATAGTATGCCTTCAGGAAATACAGTAATAAAAATATGTGTAAATAAACCATATGTAAATACATTTTGTTTTTCCACCCTCACCCAAGGATATTTTTACATTTTTCTTCAGACAGAGTGGGAGGGGGAGAGAGAGAGAGAGAATCATCGATGTGAGAGAGACACATCCATTAGCTGCCACCCGCACGACTCCAACTGGGGTTGGGGACGAACTGCAACCGAGGCACGTGCCCTTGGCCAGAATCGAACCTGGGACTCCCTGGTCCGCAGGCCGACGCTCTAACTGCTGAGCCAAACCGGCCAGGGCTGTAAATACATTTTTAAGGGAAGATTCCTGAGTATTGCATACATCTCTGCATTTTCCATGTATGAAATCACACTGTTCCCAGGAGTGCAAATCACATAAGATAGGGTAACCTGTATTCATCTATAGTATACATACACTTTGCTGCTGTCCCATTCCGACGATGGGGACATGAAGGCATGGCCAGTCACCACATGTTTTTAAGCTGTGGCTGAACAATCATATTTCCCTAAACCACAGATCCTAAATGAAATACCCTATATTTAAACAAATAACTTGAGCACATGTCCATGAAAAGACACACGTACACACATACTTCAAATCTGTCGCTCCAGCTCCTTCAAGCCATCGGGAAATACACAAGCTCCATAAGGAACTGCAGGGTCCTTGAGCCAAAGGCTGCCGCCGTGAACCGCTCAGGTGTATTCTTAGGTAAGAGGTTTTGACCTCTTTAAAGGACTTCTTAAACTAGAGGTGTTCCCTCATTTCCCAGGGGTGTTCCTGTTTCAACACACAATGGCACAGGCTGGGGAATCTCAGAGGGAAGGGGGTGCTCGGGAAGAGATAAACTAAAGAACTTACATGCATGTGTGCGTCACCCATGGACACAGACAATAGGGAAGTGAAGGTCTGGGGCGGGGTGGGGACCGGGTGGAGGGGGCCAGCGGGGGATTACACGGGAGACACCTGTAATTCTCTCAACAATATTTTAAAAAATGCAGTGGCACAGCGACCTGGCAACTCTAATCAGCATTGGGCTTGGCCGTCATTATTAAGCAAACGTTTTTCCGAAGACTCCCATAAGCAGCCTTACAATATCAGTATCACCTGAGCCCCGGACAGTGGAGCTAGGGTAGGACTTCCGCTGTGATTCCGGGAACTTACTCTGGAGCAGTCAGGATTCAAGCGGAGAGTTGGTCGGGCAGGGGCCCTACCTTCAGTGACTTGTCCCTGATGGACTGACCGGGGCCGGCGTGTCCAGCGTGGACAGTGCAGGAGGGAGCAGGATCCTGGGCGATTCTAGGGCAGCCAGGCTGGTGCTCAGTCCGCTCCCCTGAGTCAGGGAGCATCTTCAGTGCCGTTACCGGAGACAGCACGGCTTCTGGAGCAATCGCGCAGAAGGAAGGGTGCAAACACGTGCCTCGGCGTCCTCTGGGCCCCTTCTGCTGCGGCTTGGAGTTGGCTGCTGGGTCGTGGAGACACCCCAAGCACCGTTCTTGCAGGAGAATAAAAATCGCTGCTCCAGGTCTTGGTAAAAAAAAATCCGGAAGGTAAAGTACATCTCAGTTATGTATCAAAGAAGTGTAATTAAATGAGGGATTGTCTGCAAAATAAATACATAAATAAGTGCTAAAACCAGAAACTGTGGAGGGCTCTTGCCAGAGGTGTGGCTGGCCACAATAAACGTCAATGTGCGTCCTGTCCTTGCTGAAACCTGGGCTGACACCCCTTCATTCCTCTACTTGATTCGGTGCTGCTGAGATGCTCAGCCGCTAACGCATCGCCTGGTGGGACCAGACACTTTGCGGAGGGTGTGGGGGCGGGGTTCACTTAGGGCTCATTCAGAAATTTCACCTGTAGCTGAATGTTTCCTTAGATAACCGCCAATCAGCAAACGCCCCCTAACTAGCAGTGAGCAAATCGCAACTAGTTGTAGGCAAATTTTAGGAGGTTCTGTTGCAAACGGAGAATGACTGAAACTGAGTTTGAATACTGGTGTGGAATCCTACAAAGCCACGTGTGGAAACGTCATATTTCCGCAAAAGATGAGGTCAGAGATTTCTCAGGCTGACTGTTCCCCACTTCAATAATGAATAGCGAGTGCAGGAAAAGTATTACCTTGTATTCAATGCGGGCTGGTACATACATACACTCACATGCCAGGGGGTAAAGCAAGGCCCTGTGGCCAAATAGGGCCCACCATCTGTTTTTATAACGTTTTATTGGAATGCAGCCTTGTAAAGCAGAACATTGTCTATGCCCCGATTCCCAGAGCCTGTGACTAGACTACTTTTCACAGTGAAAGGAAGTTTGCAGATGTCATAAAGGTTACGGACCTCGAGATGGGGCAATTATCCCAAATAACAGCCTGTCAGAGAGATGGGACAGAAGGAGGAGGAGAGATGTGAGCCTAGAAACTCAGCTCCCTCTGGGTGGCTGGGAGGCAGAGGCAGAGGTCATTAACCTAGAAATGCAGGCGACTCTAAAAGCTGGCAACAGCTGTCAGCGGACAGCAAGGAAATGGGGAACCTCAGTCCTCCAGCCATAAGAAGCCAAAGTCTGCCAACCACCCAAATTAGCCAGGGGATAGATGTTCCCCGAGAACCCCCAGACAGAGACGCAGCCCTGCCAACACCTTGATTTTTAGCCTGGTGAGAGCTGTGTGGGATCGCTGACCCACAGGATGGCAACACAGTACATTTCTGTTATTTAACCCAAGTTTTAGGACTTGTTTACAGCGGCAATAGACAACCAACACACCACTCACATCTACTTGTTGACGAATTGCCTGAGGCTGCTTTCAAGCTACCAGGCCGAGTCGAGTGGATCTGAGAGCGACTTTATTGCCTGAAAACCTGAAATATTCACCAACTGGCCCTTTACAGCAAAAGCGTGTCTACTTGATATTTACATGCAAAAACCGTATCAGCAACTTGGCATTTATCGAACACTTAGTTGATGCCAGGGGTCTGAGCTAAGTATTTAGTGTTTATATCAAACTTCTGGGTAGATACTACTCTGTGTTCGTACAACCTGCAGGATAGATGCTACTTTCATTTTACAAATGAGAGAAGAAATGGGGGCAGAATGGTTAAGCAACGACTCAAGGTCATCCAGAGAGTCAGCGGGGAGCAGGGATTCAGGCTCGCTGCTGGCTGGCCTCTGGGCGTGGCTCACCCCTCATGCACAGCACCCCAGGGGCCCACCTGCGCCTCTACCGCTGGCGGAAAGCCACGGGGAGCTCCCGGCTCGGCACCAGGATGCCTAGGTGCCGCATGTCCACCGGCGCGTGGTCTGTGGCCACGACGTCGTATTTGCGGACGATCTGGAACACAGGGGCACAGAAAAGCAGAGTTAGCCCCCTTCGCCTGCTGGTGGACGAGCACAGCACAGAGGTGCAGAAAGCCACTTTACCCAGCAAAGAGCCAAGTGGAGCTGGAGCTCAGCCAGCCGGCGGCCAATGCACCCTCGTTTCCCGATGCCAAACGGCAGGTGTGCAAAGGGGTTGATCTTCTTTTTCTCCTGGAGCCATCGTTCGGGTCGAAACTGACCTGCACCTTCGAAATTTTCTTCGTTGGACCCCAACACCTGGGTATTCAGCATCAACACGGTCTGAAAAAACACACAGAGACGCACGGCATTTAAAATGAGCAGAAGATGTTTGAAGAGGGAAACTAACGACAGCAATCACCTGACAAATATGAAAGTCGTCCACAGATTTATGATGATGATGGGCAACATGGGTGGAGGGCTTGAAATGTGCCCGCTACTACATAGGTAAAGAACTTTAAAATTGTGTGTCGTGCCTCGGCCGGTTTGGCTCAGCCGTTAGAAAGTCTGCCTGTGAACCAAAGGGTCGTGGGTTTGATTGCCAGCCAAAGGCACGTGCCTGGGTTGCAGGTTGATCCCTGACCCAGGTTGGGATCGTGCAGGAGGCAACCAATTGATGTGTCTCTCTCACATAGATATTTCTCTCTCTCTCCCTCCCTTCCACTCTCTCTAAAAACCAATGAAAAAATATCCTCGGGTGAGGATTAACAACAACAACAACAGAATGTTGCATCACATTCTTACAACAACCCCATGTGGTAGATTTTCTTATCATCCCCATTTTACAGATGAGAAAGCTGAGGCTCCCAGAGGTGACATAACTCACTCGAGTCTATACTTGAATCCAGGTCTATCCCCATCGCCATTATTCAAAATACGGTATGATTGCCCTGGCTGGATTGGCTCAGCGGCTGGAGCATTGGCCTGCGGTCCAGAAAGACCTGGGTTCGGTTCCCGCTAAGGGTTGCAGTTTGTCCCCGGCCCTGGTTGGGCTGTGTGGGTGGCAATCACTCAATGTGTCTCTCTCATGTCGATGTTTTTCTCTCTCTCTCTCCCTCCCACTCTATCTGAACAAAAAATGGAAAAATGTCCTCGGGTGAGGATAAAAAATAAAAATAAAATAAAACAAAGCATCATCACTCAAAAACAACAACAACAACAAAATACGGTATGATTGAACAACGTGTCAAGTGCACGCTGCAATCTACATATTTGCAAAATGAGTGTTTTCCCTGCAAACATTTTCGGGGGAATCGGATGCATATTTGAAAAGTGTGTCTTTCAAAGGTCTGTATACAAAAAGTGCAAATTCTACTTACCCCTTTGGGTAAAGCATATTCCCCCAGAACTGTCGCCTTGTCCAGCGTCCTAGTTGTGAACGGCACGCTTGGGGTGAGCCTGAAAAGGGAAAACCAAAGAGGTACAGGGAGCGACAGACCGAGTGCTAGCTCAGGTGTGGATGGCGACACAGACTCTGCGTAAGTAAGTAATCACTGCGCACGTTCATGACTCAAAGGGGAACCTGACCACAGTTCTTTATGAAGAGGTTTTGTCTCTTCCCAATATTGATACCTCCTGTCTTTGTTCCTTATGTTATTGGGTTGGTAAACCCCTACCCCTCCGTACAAGCCTGCTTAGTAGCTGTTCAACATGGTTTCCCCGTTTCATTCTAGACCTCAAATGTGTCTGTTTTTCACGCTTCCCCCTGAATCTTGATGTCTGTTCGAGGTTCTACCCATCCTTCATGAAGTTAAAGATACTTCTTTTTAATTGTAGGATGGTGTGAGTTTTGTATTCCGGAGAGGGTGTAAAAAGATTTGTCAAAGGGCGTTTTATACCAGAGGCTCAGAAATAAGGATGTCTCTATGTCTTATCATATAATAATATGGCACCTTGCTGAGCCTTGAGCTCGGGCCTTCAGTCCTGCCCAGAATCCTGGTTCGTGCGCACAACATTCGTCAGAGTGGTATTATTACTGATTTAAAGGGGAGGGCTCTGACTTTCTAAGATGTCATAGAATTCATCCAAATGCTTTAGGGAATGACTCACAGAAATGGAATATGGTCTTAGGATATAATTTTTTCCCAGTTTGATAAATGGTTACGAATCAACTGCGGGAGCTGTCTGTGGGGGGACCCCTTGTTGCGTACTTAAGAGAACAGCTAACATACTCATACTTGCTCAGGCTCGAGTTCTTACCTCATGGATTCTTTCAGACAGGCCTTTAAATACGGCATGTTCCTCAAATCCTCGGCCCGTGGCACCTGATTCTCAGGCAACACGCTCTGAATTTCCTGAAGAAGCTTTTGTTGCACGTGGGGATTACGGGACAAATTGTAGAGAACCCACATTAAGCTATTTGCTGTCTGAAAAACCAAGGGACACAAACTTGAGTTTCTGCAGACACTGCCCCAAAGCCAGTCTGAGCTGAACTCCAGGCAACGCCTACCACCTGGCTCTGCAAAAAATAATAATAATTTTTAAAAATTACTGATGCTTTTCCCATGTCCGTATTTGCTGCACTTTAAAGGAAGACCGCGTATAAGAAGTCAGATTTATTTTATAAAACATATCAATGAAGGATAGTTTATTTATTGAGAAAATAAAAATAGAATCCTGTAAATAATGTACCACATTAGGGACACTTAAAATATAGTCTGAGCCTGGCCAGTGTGGCTCAGTGGATTGAGCGTTGTCCCATGGACTGAGAGGTCCTGGTTCAATTCCCGGGCATGGTGTATGCGCAGGTTGTGGGCTCGATCCCCAGTAGGGGGCGTGCAGGAGGCAGCCGATTGATGTTTGTCTCTCACCTGGATGTTTCTCTCTCTCTCTCCCTCTAAAAAATCAATACAAACGTGTGTGTGTGTGTGTGTGTGTGTGTGTACAAATATATAAATAGTTTGATACAAAAATGTTTGGCGCACAGGTGAAGCTGGTGGTATGAAAACCAGGTGCGGGGACTGGATCAAAGTCACCGTCAGGGTTGTGATAACGACTGTTGCGCAAGATGCTACCACTGGGGGAAACTGGCGGAAGGACACAGGGGCCCTCTCTATTTTTCTTTCTTCTACTGCCTGTAAATCTGCAATTATCTCAAAACAGAAAGAGTTTAATTAGGTCATTATTTAATATAAAGATTGAGAGGGGAGAGAGGATGGGAATCCTAGGAGTGTTGCTGAAGAGACTTTTGTTTTCTAATTTTACAGTCCAAATGCACAAGAAACTGCATTTCTGGAATTTAAAAGAAGGTGTGTTTGTTTTGTTTTTGCCACACCCTAAAAAGTTGCCACAAAAATATAAAGGCATCGTCTACTCTTAGGGTTTCAGCCACACGCAAAGAGCCCTCGTGGGACAGTGCCAACACCCAAATAGGAAATTCTAGAACGGAGTTGAGTATTTCAACAGCCACCGTCTCGGACAGAGCGTGTGGCCTTTTAAGTGGCATCCTTTATTTCCTTTCCGGAGATGAAGAGAAGAGAAAAATATTGGCGGAAACAGCCAAGGGTAGCTTTTAGTGCATCATATTCACCACTGGTAGTCACATGTATTTGTTTCTTAGGCCTTTTTTTAGTTAATGTAAACCAAATCGTCCTGTAAAAATGGTCATTGTGTCCTCGGCAGACACGAAGACGCTTTCGCTCAGTGCCAAGCGCCAGTCGCGTAAACGAGCAAAGCGCAAGGTGACTCGGGGCCAATGGCACTTATTATTTTTGGAAGGAGCTGTCCCGAGACAGGCTTCTTCATGTCGGAGGACTGGCAGCCCCAGCTGCAAACAAACTGTGGAGAGCACCACTACAGGAGTCTCATTTCCAGACCAGGAAGAGGGCAGAGCTGCCAATTTAGATAGACTTCCAAACTTCTCGGATTCTACAAGTGAGGCTTTCGGAACAGCCAGGACTAAAAAAGTAACGGATTGAGCCATATCAGTGGGTCCCTTACCACAAGCACCCAATAGCGCCCCCGAAAGGCCACTAAACGGCAGCTCTCACCAAAGCCCTGTGAGCCAGCCGGCGCCCGGCAGGATAACTGCGAGGGCTCAGTGGAGGGGAAGTGGCCTGCGAAACCTCACGGCCACCAGCTGTCCTGGCTTGACCTTCACCAGGGAGTCCATCTCATAGCTGGCCTTCCTGCTAGCTCGCTCTCTCTGCTAGGTCCACCCTCCACCCACCAACCAGAGCCCACTTTACAAAACAAAAATTGGATCCACTTACTGCCTTGCTTAAGGAAGAGCTGTTATACATCCAAACGCCTCACGAAGTCTCCTGGTTAACATGGCTCATCGACTTTGCCAACCTCAAGTCTGAGCACATCTGCTAGCTCTCCAGCTCCATCTCTCTGTCTGCCCCAGGGCCTTTGCATATGCTGTTTTGGCTACTGGGAGTGCTCTTTGACCAGACCTTCCTATAGTTGGCGCCTCAACATTCATTCCAGTGTCAGCTCCAAAGAGGGACCCCTCCCCCATCTCTGTTACATCACCCTGATGGCTCCCTCCATGTCCCACACCACTACCTGAACTAATCATCTGTATTTGTTTACATGTCTGCTGTCTGTTCCTCTCTACCGTTTAAGTTCCATGCGGGGAACTGGTTCCTGGTGGCATGTCGAGTATCTGGAATAGTGCCTGGCACACAGTAGGCAACTCAAGAGTTCCTAAACTCTTTCATTTATTGAACAAGCATGTATGGAGCACCTACTACATGCCAAGTGGCGTTCTACATCCTGTGAATACAGCAGGGGACAAAACCAAGTCATCGCCCGCATGGAGCGCACAGTCCAGGAGAAGGGAAATGGGCGGGGTGCTCCTTTGACCACCCGGAGGAGCCCCGAGTCACAGGAAAGGAAGCTGAAATGGATGTCCCCTTTGACAGCCTTCTGGCTCATGAGGTGAAATCAGAACCTTGCTATTTCCCCATGTAGAAAATGCTATTTTTTTCTTCGGACAAGAGGGAAAGCGTGGGAAAGCAAATAGACTTGGACACGATTTGTGCAGGAAAACAGGGGCCTCTGAGGAATATTCATATGACCTCTCCATCAATAGCCCCAGAATGAATCGAAGCCAATGAAACCTACCTGAACCCTGCGAGCATCTGTGTTTGGAGTTCGACTGTACTGAGCACCTCCTGGGAGCACCCACCACGTACATCAGGGACAGAATCCTGGTATTTAAAGTGAGCTATTCCGGCCCTGGCCAGTTTGGCTCAGTGGTTAGAGCGTCGGCCTGCGGTCCGGAGAGACCCGGGTTCGGTTCCCGCTAAGGGCATGTACTTCGGTTGCAGTTTGTCCCCGGCCCTGGTTGGTCGTGCGGGTGGCAGCCACTCGATGTGTCCCTTCACGCCGATGTTTCTCTCTCTCTCTCCCTTCCTCTCTCTCCCTCCCACTCTATCTGTACAAAAAATGGAAAAATATCCTCCGGTGAGGATAAAAAAAAAAAAAAGTGAGCTATTCCATTTAAATGAAAATCAGTGTTTCTCGAACTCACCTTGCTTACAATAATTCTAAGCATAAAGGTATTCTTGGACTGGCAGAGAAGGGTTTCAATATTTTTATAATAGATAACAGCCACCGTTAGGTAGCACGCACAGTCACCTAAAGTAGATGGACCCCATTTTTGAGAATCCAGGCCCCGGACCTTGCTGTGGCGCGGGGTTCTGAATGCCCGTCGCAGCACTGACCCCTGGCCCTGGCATTTCGTCTCTGCGGTGGGAGCCGCTGGGAGAGTTTTTCTCCTATCTCGTTTGAGCATAAAGGCTGTGCACCAGGTCTCCCACGGCTCCTGTGGGAGACATTGAATTTCTGCCGAGCTAGAGCTTGGTTAATCCTGGTGCCGCGAGTGGATGGAGTGATCATGTAAGACTCCGCGCGGTAGAGACGCCAGGCCGCTCGCTGAGCAGGGTGGCCGAGCCACGCTCACCGTTTCCACGGCAGCCAGCTGCAGCTCCGTGACCGCCGCGTACAGGTCCTTCTTGGAGAGCTGACCGTGGTGGTAGACGTCACAGAGGAAATCCGCGCCGGGCTCCTCCGCGGGCCTCGCCAGCCGGCCGTCCACACAAGATTTGACTGTTGGAGGAGAGGGAAGAGGGAGGACTCAGCTCACACCAGGAGGAGGAACAGGATGAAAGGGAACCTAAGAGGAGGTCCTCCCAGCAGGAAAGGGCTTTTGGGGGACGCGGACATGGTCAGGTGAGCTCACACTGCCTCGCGGAGCCGGCAAGGGTAGCTAGATGCCCGAGGGAGCAGGGCTTTGCAAAGTGTGCCACCGTCACCCGGGCATCTGCTTACAGGGCAGACCCGGCCCGAGGGCCCGGTGGGCCTGGAATCTGCATGGCTAACCAGCTCCCAGGTCATGCCACTGACCTGCAGGTCACGTCTGGACTAGTGAGAGCTTAGGGCTTGGATCATTATGGGACGGAGGTGGGGTCTGGGCCCACTCTCAGAATCCGGACTCGGACCCAGATCCAGGTGTCTAGCTGATGTGGTCACTCAGACAGGCAGACACGGAAATACGGGGTGTGGCTCCCAAGTCTAGGCAGGAGAGGAGGGAGGAACGCCCTCCCCCAAGGTTACTGAACACACACACACACGTGCAGTGCCCATGAATGTTGACAAGAATACTGAATGGGTCTCCCTCGCTTCTATCCATGACATGAGCCACTACCAGAATAATAACAATGGTGACAGTGGTGATCCAAGTGCTGACAATAAGAGGTGTGGCGCTCAGAGCCTTTCCGTGTGGCTTCCAACCCTGGCGTTGTCATCACCTAGCTATACATTTGGGAACGTCACATGCCCTCTTGGTGCCTCAGTTCTGTTCCTCGGGGCTGATAGAAGGATCTGACATAGGTTTTGTGGTGGGAATTAAATGTGTGTGTGTGAATATACATAATCCATCACTTTATTATAGGGTAATACCTACATCAAATACTCCCGCCACAATGTAGCAGAAATAGCTCTGGTTCACTGAAACGCTGTCGCGTGCCAGGCTTTCGTGTTACCTCTATTAGACCTAGAAACAGCTACGTCGAGGCGGTGCTGTCATTGTGGTGGTGGTTGTTAGCCCATTTCAGAGGTAAGACGACTGATGAAGAGAAGGGGATAGCACATTGGGCTGACCTGCCACCCCAGGGAAAGACCGGGGACTTGAACCCAGGGGTCTTGGACTCCAAAGCTCTTGCTTTTAACCCCTCTTGGATCCCTAAGACAACTGCCTTTTCCTTAGAGTCTGTCTGCACCAGGGCGGCCCCCAAACTTGGGTTTGCAAAGCCGGAAGGAATCAGGAGGGGCGACTCCATCAGGGGGTGCAGGTGGTCAGGCCAAGAAGGACATTGCAGGCCTCTGGCAGCTCCGCAGACGGGGAGGCGGGTGTGGGGCCTGTTACCTGAACGGAAAATGGTGTCCCAGGCCTGGGTGTGGGCCTGCCAGACCTTGGTGTTGAGGCCCTTGTGCAGCTCGACGGGGACGACCATCATCCTCCCGAAAGTGCTCATCATCTGTGAGGGACGCAGAGGCGTCTTCATCAGTTTCTCTCCGGGGCCACTTTCGCTCGGGCCAGGAGCATTCTGCACACGGCACCCTGTGCTCCCCCAAAGCTGGAATTCAGGGGACCCCTCCCCCAGGCCTCTCTGCTCTGGTCCTGGGAAGTCGTACCCACCCCACCCCCAGTCACATATACAAAATCATCTTCAGGATGATTTTTCAATGGGGCTTAGTAAAAACCTGCTCTTATACCTATAACTTTAAGATTTACTCAGATTTCCAAACTCCAGCCACTGCTAGGCCAGTTTCGCACGTCTGCTATGTCCACATACGACCCAAACGATTCATTAATTTAAAATGCAAAAAATGTCAGGCTTTTCAAAGCTGTAATGTAACCCACCGACCTTTAACTGAACTACCCACTTTTTTGTTCAGGTAGAGTGGGAGGGAGAGAGAGGAACACAGAGAGAGGAGAGAAACATCGATGTGAAGGGACACATCGAGTGGCTGCCACCCGCACGACCAACCAGGGCCGGGGACAAACTGCAACCGAGGTACGTGCCCTTAGCGGGAACCGAACCCTGGTCTCTCCAGACCGCAGGCCGACGCTCTAACCGCTGAGCCAAACCGGCCAGGGCTGAACTACCCACTTTAACTTTGCCTAAACAATGACCTTCTTTGTTATATGTGTGTATGGGCACATCCGTGCATGAAAATACATGACACACCTTAAAATCAACATGTAACGTTGTAATAAAACACGTGTGCAGGCCCTCTTGGGGAGCCCTGCTCTGTCTGGGGGTGCTCACCGTTTTGATGGCCATGATGAAGTTCAAGGCTTCGTCCCCTGCGTTCTTCTGAAGGAGCCCAAATCGCTTCCCATACAGCACCAGGCAGATGCCTGTTAATTAGAGTAATTAACACTGTTAACACAACCTGGGCTCTGATTGGCTGGCAATGAAGGGCTGGGTTCCATTGCTCGTCGACATGAAGTCTTTTCCAAGAACATGGGAGACAAGAAGAACCTGAGAGTCTGAGCATCCTTTCTAGAGATTATCTGCAGGTGCAACGACCCGGCCCCTGCAGAACCTCCTGGTCAGAAACACCACCGTGCGAAGGTGGCCTTTTCCACGTGTGAAGGAGTCTCTCCTGCGTGTCTTGGTTTGGTCGCAGTTTATCACTGACATCATGCGTAGCAGTCATCGTGAATGGCCTGCCCAACCAACGCTCGTTCTCCCCCGTTTCTTCCCTAAGGCACCCCGCTTTTATTTAGGGTGTCAGTGTATCAGACCCAGGCCATTAATCAGTCTTGATTTGAGACTCTGAGGACAAGCGGTTCCCTGACTTTCTTTTGCTTTTAGGTCAAGTGGGACCTGTCCCCTCATCTAATGATTTTTGCCTGAAATGCAGAGGGGAGGCCGGGGGAGCAGGAGTCATTTTGCCACAAGCCGACCAGCGCAAGCTGGACGAGGGAGAAGGAAGCAGAGCTTGGCTCCGCCTGCATCACCGAGTGTGGCCTGACCGCCTTCCTCCAGAGTCCCCGCAAGGCCAGACGGTAATTTTTAAACCGCCACAGTCAGATCCCCTTTGACTTGCAAACAAATGCATTTGATACTCCTTAATTTGAGAATTTACAGTGGGCAGGTTCCAAAACATACCCTTTTCTCCTCTGTACTCACTCCCTCTCTCTACTTCTTTCCCTTAACACCCTCTGTGGATTTCTTGTTCGCCGGGAGCTTTCTCCGGGGCTCAGGTGACTGGCCCGAACTTGAAATGAGGCTGATTTGATGGAGAGACAGGTCAGGACACAAGCCCCCACCTCGGGGGGCCATGCGCAGGCCCTCCCACCAGCAGCTGGAGGGACCCTTGCAGCGAATTGAACTTGCCATGGTCCTGCTAAAAGCACTTACTGCCACTCCTAGGTGCCCCCAGGGTCCAAGTCAAGCCCCCATCCCTGGTATACGAGTTTGTATGGCTGCTGCCTTCCTCCCATCCCTCCTCTTCCTCACCCTGCCCCTCCCTTGCCGGATATGCCCCCGTCATTCCAAATGCCTTTCTGTTCCTCTGCCTGGAACATTCCTCCTTCCCTCCCTTTCACCTGGCGAATTCCAACTCGTCCACCAGGCCTCAGCCGAGATGGAGCCGCCTCCAGGAAGGCCCCCAGGTCCGGCTCAGCTGATGCTTCCCCCTCGGATTCAACCACAGCCTCGAACCTGCTCCGTCTACTGAAATTGCCTGCACCTCCCCGGGGGAGTGAGCTCATCGAGGCAGGGCTCTGCCTCACTTCCCAGAATGATCCTGGAAGAAAGTGATCGTGCCTCCTTCTGTTTGCAAGTCTCCGTGGCCCCCCCCCCCGCCCCCGTCTGACTCAAACTAAAAGCTCCTGCCAGGACCTACGGGCCCTGGCTTGGTTTGCTCAGCTCCTCTTCCCCCTGCAGTGCACTCACATCAGCGTCCTTCATGTTTCTACCCCAGGGCATTTGCACGTCCCGTCTCCGGTCTCTAGAACCACCTTCCCACAGACACCCCTGTGGCTTGCTCGCTTCAGATGTCTCATCAGAGCGGAGTTGCCTCATCCAGGCACCTAATGTTCCTCCTTAATATTAAGCACCTTACCCCCAGCAGAGTATATTTTAAAATGTGTTTACTTGTCCATTGCCATCCCTCCTAGAATCCAAGATCCACATGAGCAAGTTTTGCGCTGTGCTGTGTCCCCAGCGCGGTGCCTGGCGCGCACCACGTGCTCCGTGAGCGTTTGCTCAGAGTCCACGCCAGCAGCCAGAGCGCAAAGCGTGACGTCCGTGCCGCGAAGCGTTAAAACGGCGGCCGCGGCCCTTCCTGGCCAGAACAGGACACGGTTCCAGAAGACTGAACTTGTCCACAGGGCCGCGTTTTATCCCCAGAATCACGGGCACCATCAAATGAACCAGACGTAGACACAACTCACTTTCAAAGGACCACTTGTTCAGCTGGCCGTACAAATCGTCCACGTGGCCTCTCCCGTCACGGAGCTCATCCAGTCTCCCCATGAAGTCAGCCAAGACCTTACAAGAAAGCAGCCAGAGACACGCTTCAGTCTTGGCGGGCAAACACGAAGGCAGGGCGCAGCAGGCTACAGCCGGGGTCCCGCTCCCCTGCGTTCTACGGCGTGAGGGTCTCCCTCCTGCAGAAACACTACTGGCGGATTTGCCCCGGGAGCTCACCTGGGGCCCTGGCCTAACTCCTCAGCCTCTCCGGCAGCCACCCTGCGGCTCAAGTGTCAGCCTGGGCTCTAAATGTAAAGGAAGGAAAACCTTTCTTCTAATCAGAGCAGGGAATGAGCCGCAAAGGGGAAACCAGTCAGGTGGCCCCGCTGGCCGGCATCGCACAGACGATGATGCTGGAACTGCCCTGAGGTTCGCGCACCTGGGCAAGCGGACCTCTCTGTACTGATCGGTCTTGTGTTCGGCGTGTTGAGCCTGGAGCCAGGGAATCTGCAGGTTCTGGGCGCAGCCCCCCCCACGGAATAGCTCTGTGACCTCGGACAAGTTACGCAAGGCCGTCCGAGGCTGGTTTCCGAAACCAGGGCTTTCGATGGCTCACGCCTGTCCTTTGACAGGGCTTTTCCAGAGTCCCAGGCGCTGTGCAGAGTGTATCTCTTAGCTGATCCTTACAACCTCGTGAGGGAGAAAGTACGGTCATCCCTCCCGCTTCCTGGGGGACAGAGGAGGAAACTGAGCCTCAGAGAGAGGCTAAGACACCCCCCTTGGACGCAGAGTGGAGAAGGGCCCATGCCGGGGCCTGGAACAAATTGTGTGTGACTGCGAAACTCATCCCCATAAACAAGGATATTTAGTGTGCCCATGTGGTACGTTCAAAAGTACTCTGAATTAGTTACCATAAACAATTTAGAGATTTCACATGAACATATGGGTTTTCTACTATTTGTCAATAATAATGATGATGATGATGATGATAATAATATATTACAGGACGTGGTGACACTGCATCTGCATTCCCATGGGGCAGTCATTTGCTGGAACTGGGGCAGCTGTCACCTCTCAAAAGGGCATGCGCTATTCTGTTGGCTGAAACCCCTACAGGGCCGGCCTTATACATTTATATTAATTACCTGGCCCCTGGAAGCTTCTGAGATTGCTTTCACCTATATAATCTTAGGTGGGTCCAAGTTCAGTTCAAAATAACACCCAGTCCGGCTGATGTGGCTCAGTGATTGAGCACTGACCCATGCACCAAGAGGTCGCCGGTTCGATTCCCGGTCAGAGAACATGCGCAGGTTGTGGGCCTGATCCCCACAGGAGGAGTGGAGCCTACAGGAGGCAGCCAATCGATGTTCTCTCTCATCAATGTTTCTATCTCTCTCTCAAAAAAATCAATAAGGAAAAAAATTAAAAATAAAATAAAGACCCAAGGCGAACAGGAGTAAAAAGAGATTACTACATGCTTAAGTTCCTTCCCCTTCGGCCCCCTGTTGGCTAAAGGATATATCCAAATACCCTAGCACAGCACAAAAACATGGTCAAGACCTGCCTTCTGCCCTGGCCAGTTTGGCTCAGTGGTTGAGCGTTGGCCTGCGGACCAGAGAGTCCCGGGTTTGGTTCCTGCTAGGGGCATGTACCACACACACAAAAAAGACCTGCCTTCTGTCCACCATCATTTCAGAAAAAGCCCATTCTGAGTGGACTGTTCTCTAAACGTGCCATGACACGTCATGCCTCCATATTTTCAGCAGGCTATTCTCTCTGCCTGGGTGCCTTTCTCCACCTTTCCTGGCTTGTGGACTCCTACTCATCCTGCAAAACCCAGCTCAAATGTCACTACCAAGGCACTTCATAAGCATTATCTCATTTAATCATCACAGCAAACCGGTGGAGTGAGAACTGTTACTCCCATTTCGTAGATTGGGAAACTGAGGCTTAGGGAAGTTAAATGGTATAGTCAGTTACATAGGACAGGAGGCCGATGCTCAAACCCCACACTGTGGAATACCAAAGTCTGTGCTTGTAACTACTTCCTCACTGTGATACTTTTAAGAAAGGGTAAAGAAGGGAGGAATAAGGGCTTTGGGGGAGGAGGATGTGGAGAGGAATGAGGAGAAAATGAAGCCCCAAATCATCCAAAGTGCCTGCTTTGCTCCCTGCACTCTGTAGCTGTGACTTGAAGCTCCATCAATACCCCTCTCTCCCTGAGAGACCCCGGAAAGCTGGCCCCAGCCTGCAAACCTCATTGATTTTGTTGTCCAGCTTCATAATTTCCACTGGTTTCATTAGTTTCTTTTGAAAGGCACTCCGGACCCTCTGCCAGTCTTCTCCTTCCCTGGGAGAGAAGCAGAAATCTATTTAGAGCGAACTGCGAAGACCAGAAGGAAGAGGCAGGGACCCCCGCTGTGCTGCAGTGGCGTGACCGGTACCATCAAATGAACACCACGCATCGGGCCGCGAAACCCAGAGGCTGTCAGCATTGGAATATTTGGGGCTGGTCTGATGATAGGAAAACACCTTTTCTCCTAGCCAAGGAAAGCACCAGAAAGGTGATGCCCAGATAATCGGGGTTCAGGGCTGTTGAGGTGTCCTTCCTGGTTTTGAACTGGGAGGCCAGACGCCTCTATTCCCAGCAGTGAAGAGACCCCTACCACTCCCCCGAAACTCAGATCTGTTTGGGAAAAAATCTTGTTTTTTTCAACCCATTGACTTGGCAACGTTAAAAGTCACATTTACAAAACACCTCAAATGTAGAATTTTGCCATTGCCCCCAAATGATAACACACCGTCAGAGAGTCACAGTTGTTGGAAAAAGCCCCTTCCCATCAAGCACCCTTTGGCATTGGCCCCCTAGCTGACCACACCACCTGCGATGCACCTGCATTACTATGCTTTTTAATTCCAGGAATGACATCCTAAAACACAACTATGAGACATGAAAATTTGGGGGTGAAAAAGTGCTAACTTGTTAAATGGTAACAATGAAAAGGCAGAGGAACCGCATCACATCAGAGCATTTTTCTGTCTAAAATGCAACCTTGACACCCCTCCTCACCCCACCTTTGGAGCACGCCTAGGTCATCTGTCACCTTCCACTCCCTTCCAGAAAGGAAAGTCACTGTCAAGAGCAAAGGAAGTTAATTCCCGGCATTTGAGCTTCTGGGGGGGGGGGGGGGGGTTGCAGAGAATTTTAAGGGCTAATTTTGTTTGTATAACACATTTGCCTGGCACACAGACTTCATCTCGCCACAATTTCTCTAACGCCCTTTGGCATTTCTTGAATGGAAAGGTTTGGCTCTGCCCAGATGCCAGGGAGAACGCAGCTGTGACGTGGGTGCGCAGTACAGCTGTCCCGCAACCCACTCAGGTCCACGCAGGAGGGGTACATGACCGCACGGGGTAGGGGCTTTCTTGTCCTAAGAAGGGTCCAAACCCAGGGAAGCTCTCCCCGCCTCCACTCACAGGATGAGCAACCCGTAGCCCTCTTGGCGATAGTCCCGGTAGGCCTTCCAGGGTTTGATCTCCAGCCGCTGCGGGTACGCGCCCTCGGTGCGGTACAGCGCTTCCAGCAGGCATGGCGAGCCCAGGTGCACCGAGTCGAAGGAACCCAACTTCAGGCGGAAAATCTTGCCATACTTCTTGTGGTACTCTGCCTGCAGCGGGCCGGGCACAGCCAAAGTCAGCGCCTCCCTTGCAACCCCAAGAACTTCTCCCTCCTCCCGCCTTCCTCCCCCCGGGGACGCCGTCCCGGAGCCACCCGAGCGCACCGGTGCGCCCTGGCCGGGCTGCGCCTCGGGAAGGTTTGAGGCACAGGGCAGGGAAAGGAGAGGGAATTGGGGCGCGACGATGTATTTACCAGCGTGTCGTGTTGTTTCTTGAGGCCCCCTTTCCACAGAATCTCCAGCAGGCTGCCCAGCAGGGGCCAGTTGGTGGGTCCCGGTAGGGCGGCCGCGTTCCGCGCCTCGCCGCGTTCCATCAGCGGGCAGAGGGGCACCTCCCGCGGCCGAGGGGGCGCGCGCGCCTTGGATGTCACAGGTCTGGGGGGCTGCCCGAGGCTGCGCAACTGCTGTAGGAAGGCGACCAGGGAGCGGCTCTTGGTGACAGGAGAGCTCATGGCCGCGGGGGAGACCCAGCGCGTGGGCCCGCGAGGGGATGAGAAGAGTGAGGTTGCTAAAGAGGCGCCGGCTGGGTTTGGGGGCGTGATGATTCTCGGAAAGAGAGGCGAAGAGGACCAGCAGGTGTGATGAAGGGGGCAAAAGAGGGACGAAAGGACCCCGCGAGGATGCTCTACGCTGCACTTGGCGGCAGCCTCAGGGAGCGGGTGCCGCCGAGCGGGCCGCAGGGGCTGCGGGAGGGCAGCCGGGGGTCTGGTGCCTCTCGGAAGACGAAGGCAAGGAATGTTGGCGCGTCTGTGGGGAAGTCTGACTTCCAGGTCTGGAGCCCAGGAATGGAGACGTCAAGGAAGATAGAAGTGATGCCCGGGGACTCGTCGGTTTCCTCCTGGCCCTCTCCATGCTCCATGCCCAGGGACCAAGTATTTATGGAGACAGGACAGGCCCTGGGTGGCCAATGAGCACGCTGAATGGGGAGGAGTGGGCCCTGGCTTGCCTAGCCCGGAGGGACGCGGGATGAGGGGGGTGGGGGTGGGAGGAGGAGAGTCTGGAAATAGGATGCAGTCAGCGGGGTGAGCGAGGGCACCTGCACCTCGGGTGACCGGTGCGCGGCAGACTCCACCCCGGAGATAACCCCCGGGAGGTGCGCTGAGCCGGGAGTTCACCGGGTGTGCGCCGAGCCCCTCCCGCCCTCCCTCTGCGGGCAGAGCCGGCGGTGGCCCACAGCCGCAGTCCCTCCTTGCACAATCGCTGCTAAGCGGGCGGGCGAGGTCTCCGAGTGCGGGCCTGGGAAGGCTGCCGACCTCGCCGGGGCCCACAGCCCGCTCGCCTCCCGGGAGCCAGTTCATGCCAGTCTGGACGGAACGGTTTCTGCAGGGAGGTCGGCTTTCTGCGCCTCCCCAGGTCGGGAGGGACCCCGGCTCGGAGTCTACAGAGGGGATTTCACCTTTGGGTCTTGGGCACAGAGGGCCAGTGAGTTTGCAGAAGTTCCGTCCTGGCTGTGCCATTTTGGGTGTCATGAAGATTTCATGGATTCGTGCAAGTAAAGCGCCTCCAACGCAGTCCTTAGCCGGCGTCCACGTCGTCCTCACCTCTCCAGCCAGGCAGGAAGTGCGCCACCGGAGCGTGGTTTGCAGTGGAGGCTGGCCCACCTCGGCACGTCCATCCTCCTCCCTCTTCGGGACACTTTGTGCGAGGGATGGGCACCCGCTTCCCCGCACCACATCCCCTGCTATTCCCACCCATCCTTGCAAAGTCGGTCCGGGCAAGCGTGGGGTGCAACGCGTGCACACGCTCACACAGGCGCACAATTTCCAGAGTCACGGTGCCTGACAAGAGCAGAACTTTCTTTGCTAATTCAGTGAGAGGTGGAGATTTTTGTTGAATATTTGAAAGCATCTCCTATGATTTCATTCTGTCCAACACAACAACTACCACCAGCAGGTGAGGGAGGAGGCAGGGGACACCTTTCCCTCGCCTTGCTTTGCAGTCTCCTGGCTGGCTCTTTTTTTTTTTTTTTAATCCTCACTCGAGGATATTTTTCCATTTTTTTTTTGTTCAGAGTGGGAGGGAAAGAGAGAGAGAGAGAGAAAGAAACATGGACGTGAAAGGGGCACATCGAGTGGCTGCCTCCCGCACGACCAACCAGGGCCGGGGACAAACCGCAACCGAGGTTACATGCCCTTAGCGGAACCGAACCAGGGTCTCTCTGGACCGCAGGCCGACGCTCTAACCGCTGAGCCAAACTGGCCAGGGCCTGGCTGGCTCTTTTGACTGTCATATTGGCAAATTATTCCCTGGTAAATTTATTGTCAACTTTTCCTCTGTGACTTGAAAACCTTTTCCAGTTCAACTTGAGCTTGAACATTGTCATTGCAGATTTGTCCTGAGAGGTGAATGACTGTTAATGCTAATAAAAGTAATAGCTTATAGTATGCATTAATACTATTGATATAATGTACTTATATAGATACCCATTTACAGATATACACACTGTATAGTACATATCATGTTGCATACACTGAAAATTATGTACTGCAGGAGTAGGCAAAAGTAGGTTTACAGTTGTGAGTACACAAAACACACTTTATTCTTGTATTATTTATTATTGACCTACTTGCCATATGAACAACTATAAACCTACTTTTGCCCACCCCGTACATGCATTATCCACTCTATCTTGCATAACATGTTACATAAGTATTAAGTATACAAATGAAAGCTTTCTAGGGCTTATGATAAACCAGCCACTAAACTAGACATTTTCCCTAATTTTTCCCATTTGGTTCAACCCAACAACCACAAAAAAAAAAAAAAAAGAATAAATAAAACTGAAGTGTGGAGAGTTACAGAATTTGCCGTGTCGCAGACCGTACTATTGGCTCCTGAAGAATTCAGATCCAGGTTTTCTATCTCCAACCTAGTCCCTTTTATGGACACATCCGTATACATCATGCTCTATGACATCATCTCTTCTTAAACTAGGAATATGTCAGAATACTGGAAATAGTCCTTACATGGGAATCTCCCAAAGCTGGGGGATCAGTGTGTGGGTCTCTGATGAGAATGTTGTTTTGGGTGCGAATGGTGGCATAAAAAACGATAGTCCCAAACAGAAGGTCTGTTTAGCTCACCACTGCACCTTGCTTCTGGTATGGTGGTTGGCACATAGCAATGCCCAATAAATCCGAACTCCTCATGCCATGCCCGGATTGAGTGATCACCCCTCCTTGGCTCTTTGCTTTCTCTCTCTGCAGGTGTACTCAGGAGGAAAGGAAACCATTTTCAGACTTGCTGGGTTGTCACAGGCGCTGGGCACTAGGTGGTTTTATAAATGCGAGCAGACCCTGGGAAGGGCAGGCGGACATCAGGCTCATAGCAGCCAGCACGAAAATTCCAGTTTCAGGGAAATTGGTTTCTCATGTCCAGTGGAGAAAGTCCCCACGGGTTTTCCACTGGATTGCGGAGGGCAGAGGGACTAGCTCTTGGAAACTTCGTGGACATCAGCCCACACCTGTCCTTGATGACGTGCACCTAGATTCAAAATGACCACTTGGAGCCCAGACCCGGGACTCCCTCGTGCCCCCTTGGCCGCTTCCCTCATTCATCACTTCGTCTTCGTACGGGGTTCCTGCTGGGAACTACTGGTGAGAGGTCCGGAAGTAGCCCCGAAGTGTCCACGGTCGCTCCCGAGACAGGCCCAGGCCCTGCTTGGTTCTGGGAAAGTTGACCAAGTCCCGAATGGATAATGACACTCCAGTCCCCACACCAGGTGACAAGGCGTGTGTGCATGTATGTGTGTGAGGGGGCGGGAAGGAGGAGTCCTTCGAAAGGCAACGTCTGGTTTCCCTGTGCTGGGAAACATACAACTTTCTTTCTTTTTTTTTTTTTTTATCCTCACCGAGGACATTTTTCCATTTTTTATTCAGACAGAGCAGGAGGGAGAGAGAGAAACATCGACGTGAAAGAGACACATCGACTGGCTGCCACCCACACGACCCAACCAGGGCCGGGGACAAACTGCAACCGAAGTACATGCCCTTAGCGGGAACCGAACTCGGGTCTCTCTGGACCACAGGCCGACACTCTAACCGCTGAGCCAAACCGGCCAGGGCAACACACAACTTTCACACATCCCAAGTAGTAATAGAGTTTTGTGCTTTGAAGCTTTGGCTAAACTTGGGTGTGAGTCCTAGACCCTGCTTTCTTTTTCTTAAAAAAAATTTTTTTTCTTTATTGAGTTTAAAGAGAGAGGAAAGGGAAGGGAGAGATAGAAACATCGATGAGCGAGAACACCGATTGGCTGCCTCCTGCATGCCCCCCACTGGGGATCGGGCCCACAACCTGGGCATGTACCCTGACCGGGAATCGAACTGGCGACCTCTTGGTGCAGGGTCGACGCTCGACCACGGAGCCACACTGGCCGGGCTAGTCCTGCGTTCTGACTGTGGAACCGAGAGACTGACTCTCCAGTCTGTCTGCTACCTCACTGCTTCATTGCACCGTATGTCTTGCGTTTTGCACGCTATATACAAGAGAGACAACTCAGATGTGCCAATTACTATTATCTTGGGTTCAACTTTATAGTTTTGACTCAGGAAACTGTAGAACTGGATAAAGCCAAAGGAAGAATAGATAGAGGTTCACATTCTAGCCACCCAGTAGCCAGACACACGGCCTACAAGGCTCAGGTCCCCTCCTCAAAGAGGTGATGAGGGCAGTATGTGCCCAGTAGGATTTTCCTCTAGTGACAAAGCATTGCAAGTCCCTGGCTTATGATAAAGGCTCGGAAATGTCATCATTATTGTTACTGAGAATGCCAGGAATCGGGCTCTCATAAATTCAGGTCACCATCTCTTCCACACGTGTCTTAGGTTCTATGACTAGACAAAAACCCCCTGAAAGTCTGGACATTGTCTCCTGTTTTTGTCTCTCCTACAGCATGTGACACAGTGCTGTTCACTTTGGCCAGCACCCAATAAAGCAAATAATAGCCGATCGATTATTGATTATGTCTGCGAAAGGAGAGAGATGAGTATCAACACACTTTGTTTTCGGAGGAGGAAGCTGCTGCAGATCCTGGAGGGTTGTGTGTGTGTCATGTGTACGGGAAGCGATTCGATGCACCAAAACTCACAGCTTGGGTTTCAGCAGCTTGAGCGGAAGCCGCGGCTCCGCCCCTCAAGCTGTGTGGCTGCCGGTAAGTTACTGAACCTCTCTGAGCCTAGTTTCCCTGTTCATAAATTTGGGGGTTCCTGTGCCTGTGTCAGGAAGGTTAAGAGGAATGCTTAAAATAGCAGGTGAAGCCTGATAACCATCGTCTTCCCAAACATCCATCTGGCTCCTGTACTTGCGTGATGATTCCTGGGTGGAATTGTCATGTCGGCGAGTTAAAATTATATTATAGAGCCCTGGCTGGTTTGGCTCAGCGGTTAGAGCGTCCACCTGCGGTCCGGAGAGACCCGGGTTCGGTTCCCGCTAAGGACATGTACCTCGGTTGCAG